GCTGAGGCAGGCTGAGGCTGAGGCCGAGGCTGAAGGGCTGAGGCTGAGGCTGCAGGCTGAGGCTGAGGCTGAGGCTGGCTGAGGCTGAAGGCAGGCCGAGGCTGAGGCTGAGGCTGAGGCTGAGGCTGAGGCTGAGGCTGAGGCTGAGGCTGAGGCTGACTGAGGCTGAGGCTGAGGCTGAGGCTGAGGCTGAGGCTGCAGGCTGAGGAGGCTGAGGCTGATGCTGAGGCTGCAGGCTGAGGCTGAGGGCTGAGGCTGAGGCCGAGGCTGAAGGCAGACTGAGGCTGAGGCTGAAGCAGGCTGAGGCTGAGGCTGAGGCAGGCTGAGGCTGAGGCTGAGGCAGGCTGATGCTGAGGCAGGCTGAGGCTGAGGCTGAGGCTGATGCAGGCTGAGGCTGAGGCAGGCTGAGGCTGAGGCCGAGGCTGAAGGCAGACTGATGCTGAGGCTGAAGCAGGCTGAGGCTGAGGCTGAGGCAGGCTGAGGCTGAGGCTGAGGCAGGCTGATGCTGAGGCAGGCTGAGGCTGAGGCTGAGGCTGATGCAGGCTGAGGCTGAGGCAGGCCGAGGCTGAGGCCGAGGCTGAAGGCAGACTGAGGCTGAGGCTGAAGGCAGGCTGAGGCTGAGGCTGAGGCTGAGGCTGAGGCTGAGGCTGGCTGATGCTGAGGCAGGCTGAGGCTGAGGCTGAGGCTGATGCAGGCTGAGGCTGAGGCAGGCTGAGGCTGAGGCCGAGGCTGCAGGCAGACTGAGGCTGATGCAGGAGCAGGCTGAGGCTGAGGCTGAGGCAGGCTGAAGCTGAGGCTGAGGCTGATGCTGAGGCAGGCTGAGGCTGAGGCTGAGGCTAATGCAGGCCACTGCGACTGTCATCGCGAATGCGACTACGACTGCGAGAACAGCAGAACTCTACAACTGGATTCTCATCTGAATCTTAAGGGGGATGCTTTCAGATATGCTCCTACACATCGCTGTTAGGTTGCTTTGCCGGGATAATTTTGTTGGACAAGACTCGTTGTCGGTGTCGCTGCGGACGTTGTGCCTGGGAGAAAGGAGGCCGACTGCCCAACAGCGCCTCTTTCGGTTTTAGACAACATATGTTGTTGGGCATCGGGACCATTTTTCAGTACCCATGTCGGGCGTTCAGATCCGGGGCCCATTATCGAAGACGCCTACGGCGAATCACCGCCGTCCCCTGCCTTTTTGGAAGCGCCTTCGTGGCCGAACGTTGAGGCCAGAGCTTGGCCAAACTATCGGGCCAGTTGATCCCCGAATCGGTTTGGAAAGCCTTCGGTGAACACGTGGGCATCGTGAAGGTCATCTTGGCCGCCTTGGGCCGTCTTGGAGGCCATCTTGAGCGTTTTGGAGGCCTCTTGGGCCGTCTTGGGGGCCTCTTGGGGCCGTCTTAGGCCTCTTGGGCGATCTTTGGGAAAACTTGGGCCGTCTCGGGCCGTCGGAAGGCCGAAAAAAAGCAAATGCCACAATCCTTCAAAAACTCATGGGAAATCAATGATTTTGACCTTTTCGGGCCTTCCTGGAAGCCCTCTTGGAGGCCTCTTGGGCCGTCTTGGACCATCTTAGTGCCATCTTCGGCCGTCTTGGTGGGCCCCTGGCCCGTCCGACGCTGTCGGAAGCCGTTTGGGAGGTTTCTCTGAGCCGACTTGGGGTCCTCTTGGAATGCTCCAGGGCCGTCTTGGAGGCCATCTTGGGCGTCTTAAAAGCCTCCTGGGCCTCTGGAGGGCCTCTTGGGGGCCGTCTTGGGGGCCTCTTGGGTCGTTCTGGGGCCATACTGGATGCCTCTTTGGCGATCTTTGGGCGAGTTTGGGGGGCTCTTGGGCCGTATCGGGCCGTCGGAAGGCCGAAACGAAGCAAATGTCAGAATCTTTCGAAAGCCCAGGGAAAATCAGTGGTTTGGGCCTGTTTCTGGCCTTCCTGGAGCTTGGGCCAGCTTCGAGCCAACTTCGGCTATCTTGGGGTCTGACGCCGTCGGAAGCTGTTGGGGGGGCCTTTCTGGGCCGACTTGGGGCCCTCTTGAGGTGCTCCAGGGCCGTCTTAGAGGCCATCTTGGGCTTATTGGAGGCCTCTTGGGTCGTCTTTGTGCCCTCTTGGGGCCGTCTTGGGGGCCTCTTGGGCAGTCCTGAGGCAATTTTGCAGGCCTCGTGGGCGCTGTGGGGGCGATCTTGCGGGCCTCTTGGGCCGTCTTGGGTCGTCGGAAAGCCGAGCAGAAGCGAATACGAAAATCCTTCAAAAACCTTAGGAAAATCAACGATATTGGCCTCTTCGGGCCCTCCTGGAGGACCTCTTGGAGGCCTTTGGGCCGTCTTGGAGGCCTCTGGGGGGCCTCTTGGGCTGTCTTGGGCCGTCTTGGACTCTCTTGGGCCGTCTTGGAGGCCGTCTAAGACCATCTTGGGCGAACTTGGAGGCCATCTTGGACCATCGTGGAGGCCATCTTGGGCCAACATGGCCATCTTGGAGGTCATCTTGAGCCGTCTTGGAGAATTTGCTGCGGACGTTGAGGTCGTTTGCGGTCCTGGAAGAGCCTCCTGGGACCCCGGCGGGACGGGCCGAAGCCTCAGGGGGAGTTCTTTGGAAAAAGAACCAAAACCAAAACCGTAAGAAGTCCAGCACGCCAGGCACCCTTGTGATGAATCAACAGGGGGCGGCGGATCGAATGGCCTTCGGCCCATCCCGCCACCATGCCTGGGTTGGGTATGTTCGTTGGGATCTCGTGGGAGGCTTTTCGGGGGCCTCTTGGAGGCAGTTTGGACGCCTCTGGGGGGTTGTGGGGGGACCTCTTGGAGTGAGGATTGAGGCCTAGAGGATTAGGCAAAGGAAGGACTTGAGGACACGCCCACTCCGTGCCCAGAAGCACTGTGGCGGACCGGATTTCGGGGCCATGAGAAACGGATCAGAGGCAGAACATTGTTTCTGCTAGGATGACCGCAGGATTTGCGAATTAAGGTGATTAGGGGGGTCGCAACGATGTGGATTCTTTAGTCTGGGCGTTTTTCGTCGATCCGTAAGAGCTTCGCCCCCATGCCGCCGGCTTCCTCTCTTAGAATGGGACTTGCCAGAGCTGTGTTGGGATGTCTGGACGCTGACGTGAAGTAATGTCGGGACTTCACGCGAGGGCCAAGATTACTTTACCAGGGTTTATGGCTTCGCTGGCGCGAACATTAAGTAGTTTACGATGGTTTATGGCTTCGGGGACGCGAATATTGAGTAATTTACTATGTTTATGGCCTCGGGGACGCAAATTTTATATAAATTACGGGGGTGTATGGCCTCGGGGACGCAAGCACGGTGTAATTTAACAGGGTGTATGGCCCTGCGGACGCGAATATTATGTAATTGTCGAAGGTTTATGGCTGGCTTTGGGGGCGCAAACATTCCGTAAGTTACGCAGGTTTATGGTTTCGGGGGCGCGAATATTGTATAATTTACATGGGTTTATGGCTTCGGGGACGCGAATATTGCGCAGCTGTAAAGGATTCTGGTTTCGGGGACGCGAATATTGTGTAATTTGCAAAGGTTTACGGCCTCGGGGACGCGAATATGGCGTAATCTCCTAGGTATTATGGCCTCGGGGACCCGAAGATCAAGTATTCTTACATGTCCCACGCCCCCCCAGGAATTCAGACAACGCGATCTGGGCGTGGTAAAACAGCTGGTTTGGGGCTCCCCCAACTCGCGCGTTCAGCAACACTTGACAGTAAGGAAGCAGAGGGCAGGACTGTAGCAGTGGAATCTGGAAACTGCAACTGGAACCGGGAGCTGCCCTCGCAGCCTGGTGGCCCCACAATGGGGCCGGCGGATGCGGATGACGGGAAGCGCCCCTGACGTGGACCGCTTGTTGGTGGTAAAAATCAATAATCGGGTACGCGCTGCACTTTGAAACTGCGCTGGCGGATTTTTGAAAAACGGCCGTTTCGCTTGAGACATCCTCCAAAAATTGGCCCAAGAGGGGGCTCCGCATCGAGAGCCCCAGGAGCGCCCAAGAGCGCCCCAAGAAGACACCAAGAGACCCCCAAGAACGCTCTAGGAGCCACCCAGGCAGCTCACAAGAACCCCAAGACGGCCCGAGAAGGGCCAAGAAGGCCCCAAGAGACTCCCGGGAGCGCCCCAGGAGGCCCCCAGCGCCGAGACGGCCTAAGAAAGCTCCCACAGAACCCCACGACGCGCCCAGACAGCCCAAGAAGACCCCAGAAGCCCATAAGAGGACCCAAGGGGCCCCCAAGAAGCCCCCAACAGGCCCCAAGAGAACCCCGCGCGACGCCAGGAGCAACGTCTTTCTCCAATTGCCTCGTATTGTCCTCTGTCGTCGACGTCGTCGTCGTCATCATCGCCCTCCGCATTCCTCCTCGTGCTCGCCCTCGTTCTCTTCGTCCTCGTCCTTGTGCTTTTCTTCCTCCTCGTTGTCCTCATGCTCCTCCTCGCTATACTCACGTTCGCCACGTCGTCCTCTTCATCGACTCCTCGTTGTCCTCGCCTTCCTTTTCCTCTTCGCCCAATACGCCCATTAGACTACAGCGGCGCTTCCCGTTCTTGTCCGATCAGGTTTCGGCTTCCGGGGGCCACCCTCGGGCCCCAGGGCCATGAGAAACGGATCATGGGTGGAAAACGACCTCCGCTAGGATCATTGCGGGGATTGCTAAGGGGACAAGGGAAGTTTCAAACGCATGTTGGGGTGGCTTATGCACGGCTTAGCATAGCCTACAGGCGGGTTCGAAAGTAACCTAAGTGGTGCAGAGCGGTGAAAGACTTGGGCAAAGTGAGTTGCGCCCACTTAGCGGAGATATCGAACCCACCCAAGCCACTCAGGGCATTCGAAATCACCTGAGCATCTGCTTGTACCCCCATCTCCCCAGCAACCGCCGCGGTGATCCCAGCAACGACGTGCTTCTTTTCCAGGCCAGGAGATATCCCTTGACTCTGGCCTCCGGGGCCCGTTAGCTACCGTCGCCGGCGTCGGCGGCGTCATCGTCGGCGGCGGCGTCGCCGGCGGCCTCAGGCGAGCACTCGGGGCCCGCGGGCGGCGCAGCGCCGGGCCCGGTGCTCGCCGCGGCCCTGCGGCAGGTGCAGCTGCTGCCGTGCTGCTGCGGGGCGCGGCGGGGCGCGGGCCAGGCGGCCGGAGGCCGCCGGCGGGACGCCCGGGCAACGGGGGCACCCCGCCCTTCTGGGGCGCGAATTCTCTGACCTTCCATGACTTTTGTGCATCCCGGGCAGCATTTCCTCGATTTCGGGCTCTTTTGGACCATCAGACATTGATCCGGGACGAGGAGTTGCTGTCGGCACCTCTAGCGCCGCGGGTTGAAGAAAACGAATCGGCGTATACCACGGGCTGCTCAGAAGAGGACGAAATAGATACCTATACGACCACCCTTCGGGTGATAAGAAGGTTCGGGGGGGGAGGAACCAACGTCTCACTCGATCGGTCTCACTATCGATCTCACTATCGGTCTCGCTCGATCGATCTCACTCGATCTATCTCACAATCGATCTCACTAGATCTATTTCATTCGATCGATCTCACAATCGATCTGACGATCGATCTCACTATCGATCTCACTATCGATCTCACAATCAATCTCACATTCGGTCTCACTATCGATCTCATTATCGATATCACAATCGATCTCACAATCAACGTCATCATCATCAACATCATCGTCATCAACGTCATCATCATCATCATCATCATCATCATCATCATCATCATCATCATCATCATCATCGGGACACCATCATCATCATCATCACCTCATCACCATCATCATCAACATCAGCATCATCAACATCATCATCATCGGGACACCATCATCGTCACCATCATCATCAACATCGTCATCGAGACACCATCATCATCATCATCATCGGAACACCACCACCATCATCAGCATCATCTCATCACCATCATGAGCAACAGCATCAACATCATTATCATCGGGACACCATCATCATCAGCAACATCAGCATCATCATCATCATCGGGACACCATCATCATCGTCACCATCATCATCATCATCATCATCACCATCATCATCATCGGGACACCATCATCATCATCATCATCAACATCAGCATCATCATCATCACCATCATCGGGCCACCATCATCAAAATCATCATCACCACCTCATCATCATCATCAACATCAACATCATCGGGACACCATCATCGCCATCATCATCAGCATCATCATCAGCGGGACACCATCATCATCATCATGAACAGCATCATCATCAACCTCATCATCATCATCGTCATCGGGACACCATCATCATCATCTCAGCATCCTCAACATCATCAGGATCATCAACATCATCATCATCACCATCACCATCATCATCGGGACACCATCATCATCAGCAACATCATCATCAACATCATCATCATCATCGGGACACCATCATCAACACCACAATCACCATCATCATCATTATCGTCAACCTCATCATCACCGGGACACGATCATCATCACCACCACCATCATCAACATCATCGACATCATCGACATCATCATCATCATCATCATCATCATCATCATCATCATCATCATCATAATCATCATCATCATCATCGGGACACCGACGGGACACCGGCGGGACACCGGCGGGACACCGCGCGCCACCGGGCCCCGGTGAGGAATCATGTGGTCTGGCCGCGGGACACCGGCGGGACACCGCGCGCCACCCGGCCCAGATGAGGAATCATTTGGTCCGGCCGCGCCTCAGCTACAGGAGACTTTCTTCTCGCCCGCCAACGCAGCTTCGCCTCGCCCGCACGCACGGCACGCACGAACACGAAGCCGAAACCGATTTCCCAGTAGGGGGGCTCTCCGTTCCACTTCGATCTCACCCCCTCGCCTTCGACCAGTACCGCTGCTCGTCCTGGAGAGCCTTCGTCGCAAGGCCGGCTTCCCCGCGAGATTCTGGACAGAACGCACCCAGGGAGAGGTTCAGGGAGCAGTGGTATCGGCATCTGGGTGTTCCCCCCTCTCGTCGGTTCCAGGAGCTTCTCCAGCACCGTGGTGCTATCCGACAGCTGCGCTCCTCCAAGAACTTTCAGGGGGGGCCCGTATCGTCCCAGACGGCCGCCAGAGGCCCGAGGGATGGCCCAAAAGCCATCCAGAACCCTGAGGTTGTCCCAACCGTCCATGCCGCCTACCAAGAGCTCTGACGGTATGGTTTTTCCAGTCCCAGAGTTCTTCGGTTATGGCCTCTGGGGGACGTGATCGGGCCTTGGGGCCAGCAAGAATGAATCTGGGACGACAACCCTCGGGGAAGGGATGGAGGATGGAGACCTCTGGGTCCGCGCATTGAAAAATCACATTGTCGGATGTCTGAATGAATGGGGTCCGAGTAGATGGGGTCGGAGGATCGCGCCGCATTGCCGACGCGTCGGAGATGCGGTTCGATTTAGAGCCCGATCTTCTCCATCCCGAGGTCGCCGGTGCATCGGCGATGCAGCGAGATCCCCCGACCACATTTACTCCAGCCCCGTTTGGGCGGCCTCCACTCAGCTGACAAGCCCCACGTGGGCGGCCCAAACATCCCCAGAGCTCCAACATGTTGAGAGAATCAGCGCGGAAGTGTTTCGCCGTGTTCGGTCTCTATCATTGGGCCCTGGCACCAAAAAACGGCTCGGGAAGAAACCAGCCCTGGGCAAGGGTCGGGATTTCCGGGAGCACGTATTAAGATAATTATGCAACGGATTCTTGTGAAGGGGTCTTGAGCGAGAGGAGTCTTGTCCCAACATCCAAACGGCTTCGCGTATGGTGACCCTCGGCCAGAGCAGCCTTTCGGTGCGGGCCCACTGGGGTCCCCCAGCGCTGGCTTGCGCGTTTAGACTTGGCGCCCCCTCGGCCACCTAGAGCCGCGCACCCGAGGTCACCCCTGCTTAGGGCCACTCTTGCATGTCGCCGACGTCAGCATGAAGCCGAGGGGGCCTGAGCGAAGCCCAGATATCCAACGCCTCGACAAAAGTCAGCCCCGGGCGTTTTTCATAGCTCTCGCACCGGGAAGCCGTTTTCGGACTCTTGGGCCGTCATCGGCGGCGAGCTTGGGGGAGAAGTGAGAAGGGGCGGGCCTTGTCAGAAGGCTCGGAAGCCAACCTTTGGGAAGTTTCGTATGCTTTCTCCCTCTCGCTTCGCCCCCCTCGCTCGCCGCCGATCTCGGCGCCTAAAGGCCGCTTTTCGGCCCCGGGGCCGCCGACAAGACGACCCAGGACGCAAGAACGGTCCCGGGGAACTTGTCGAGAGCTCCTGGGGAGTTCGGCCTCTAGAGGCTTCCAGTCACCGAGCGCGTTCCACTACTCGCAAAGCGCCTACTCGCAAACGTCCGAAAGGCACATGTTCGCCTCGATCTAATAGATCGTAGATTCCCCGCGGCGGATCCAGGCCATTTGCAAGTAGACATGTTCCAAGTAGTTGAACGCGCTCGTCTATCTAGAGGCCTCTGGATGACGTCGGCCGTCGCCGTCGCCGTCGTCGTCGTCGTCCGTCGTCGTCGGGCAGGGGAAGGGGGGAGAGGACGCAGGAGGAGGGGGGGCCAAAAGAGAGAGCATGGAGGAGGCAGGTAGGACAAGGGACGGAGGAGGCGGGAGGGAGGGATGGAGGGAAGGATGGAGGGAGGGGGAGGAGAGAAGCAGGGAGGAGGAGGAGGAGGAGGAGGAGGAGGAGGAGGAGGAGGCGGAGGCGGAGGAGGAGGAGGAGGAGGGGAGGGAGGGAGGGAGGGAGGGAAGAAGGATCCTCCTCCCTCCCCATTATCATTCTCCCTCCTCCCTCCTGTCCCCCTCCTGCACCCCAGAACCCTCGAACCCTTTTTGTTTTCGAGCCCCCGAACAGACTGGAGAACCGTCGATGAATTGTGAATATAAAGGAGGAGGAAGAGGAGGAGGAGGAGGAGGAGGAGGAGGAGGAGGAGACGACGAGGAGGAGAGAGGTGGAGGGAGGAGGAGGAGAGGAGGAGGGGAGGTGGGGGGGAGGAGGAGAAGAGAGGAGGAGGAGGAGGAGGAGGTGGAGGTGGAGGAGGAGGAGGAGGAGGAGGAGGAGGAGGAGGAGGAGCAGGAGGCATAGTGGGAGGGACTGACAGAGGGGCCCACAGAGACCTACAGCTGCGGAAAGAAGCAAGTGGCAGGGGGAAGCAAAGAAAGGAGGAGGAGGACGAGGAGGAGGAGGAGGAGGAGGAGGAGGAGGAGGAGGAGGAGGAGCGGGTTAAAGGAGGGATAGGAGGAGGAGAGAGAAGCAGGAGGAGGAGGAGAGAGGAGTTGGAGATCGGGGTGGGGGGGGATGGAGATGTAGGAGGAGGAGGTGGAGGAGGAGGAGGAGGAGGAGGAGGAGGAGGAGGAGGGGTGAGGAGATGAGTTTGAGACGGCTGGGCGCGTATACTGCATAGAAGCGCCAATGGCGCCCCCGGAGGTAAGGAGCAGCTCGAGTTTATGTTGGAGGTCGAGGGCAGCGAGGGCGAGAAGGTCTTCAAGAGTCTCTACGTCGCTGGGGAGAAGATCGGCGATTTGATGCCTCCTCTCTTGGAGTGAGATCCAATGGCTGAGTAACGACAAGAGATACCTCCACATCTCCCTTTCTCCGCCTTCCGCGATCCAGCTTGCGACGGCGGCCTGCATTGCGGATGTGTTGTGCGAGCTACCGCGATCGTGCAGCCGATCGTTGGGGCCTCGCCGGCGCTGCGAAGAAGAGCCGAATGCCCCGGCAGGCGCCCCGCGGAATTCTCACCACAATTTGTATATCTCGAAGGGGAAAAACCACATAAACATAATTTCTTGGCACTGCGCGCGGACTTCTTGGAGCCGCGCCTGGGCCCTCGGCGGCGCCTCTGGCGCCGCCCCTGGCGCGCTCCGCGCGCAAGGGAGGGGGGTCCCAGCGAGGATTTGAGAAATCCGCACGGAGCGCTAAAGTTTATGTTTGCGTGGTTTTGTCTTCTTCTGATATCCCGTTGCGCTGCCGCGCGATTCCGACACCGCGCCCGGGTGGGCGCCACGGGGGGGGCGCTTGGGGGGCGAAGGGGGCGAAGGGGGGAGGGGGGGGAGCGGCGGTGAAAGGAGGGGGGGCCCGGAGGAAGGAGGGGGGAGGGAGGCGATATGTTGCTGGACGTGGTTACCTCCGCTTCTGTTTTGGGGGGCCTGTTTGTTTGTTTGAAGAGCCAGGGAAGCCAGGGACCTGGAGAAACAATCAACGCGCGTTGGGCTCGATGCGTCGAGGGGCCCTGACTACTGCTTCGCGAGAAGCGGTATTTGCAAGAAGTAGATCAAGGCCCGACATACACACACACACACACCAACCGTTGCAAGCGCGGTGGCGGGTACATGTTCGCACTTGAGCATTTGTGTTGCATCAAAGACGCACGCCCAGCTTTCTGACTCGCGCATCTCCGATTCCCGACATGGGATACAAAATTTCAGCCAGGTTGCCGCCCCGATCTCGTTCAACACATGCACTCTCCCGATCCGAGTCGTGAGCATGCCGCTCGGGTTGCCCGCCCATCATTGTTCCCCTCGCCCTCCTCGGATTGATCGGATGGGAAGAGGAAATCTGGCAAGAAGTAGGTAGCGTCGAGTATGGATGGCGGGAAATCCAGGGTGTTGGCAAGCTCTACGGGCTTTTCAGTGCGCCAGGCTGGCCGGCGAGTGTCCGTAGCAATTGCGGTTCCAGTGTTGCCCGGAAATGTTGGGCAGCATTTGGCGTTGGATGATTTGTTGTAGTTTGTTTTGCCGGTGGATTGCGCTGCATTGACGAATCCATACTAAGCGTGGCATAGTGAAAGGATCGATAACAACCGACCGAATGTTTGCTCACCCACGTTTCTCGCAGCCCGGTGTCGGGCATTCTCTGGCCGCAAAATTATGGTTGGTTGCTGGGCTAATCGCAGCCTCTTTTCTTCCAGCAGCCGATGCTGCGTTTCAACCCGAAGCGATTTCGCAACTTGTTCCTTGTGCCAGTCTGGAAGAGCTGAGCGACGCACAATTGTCCTTGGCCGATCGTGCGAAGACCCCATATGAGTGCCTTGCGATTGTGTACAGAGACGCACTTCTGGAGATCTGGAAGCACGGCTTGTCATTCAATTTTGGGCAGCTCAACCGGAGTGAATACAACATGTTGTATGCCAAATACGCGAGCCCGTGGCTCACCCCGATCACACTGACCGACCAATTGCATGCGCCGCAACACAACGCTGGCAATCCTCAGTCCGGAAGTGCTACGTCCGCTATTGCCCTCAGCGCCTCCGACGAAGAGAATATCATCACAGCAGGTAGCCAGCTGCTTGCTGCAAGTTCCGCCGCTGTGCCAGCCCAGCATTCTGGGTGGCGACTGTTCGAGAGGGGACACGGGAGGCCGTCACGCGCGACATTTCGTGTCCCCAGACTTGGGGGGGCCGTGATGATGACGATGATACTGGTGGTGAAGAGAAGGAGGAGGAGGAGGAGGAGGAGGACAAGGATAAGGATGAGGATCAGGATGAGGATGATGTGAAGGAGGAGGAGGAGGCGCAGGAGGAAGAGGAGGAAGAGGAAGGCCGTCATACGTGACACCTTTCGTCTTCACTAGTTGATGAGCCCTCATGGAAGTCGTTTGGGTTGTATTGTGGCTGTCTTAGCCTCCCGTGAGGCAATTTTGGGGCCTTAAGGACTTCTCTGGCCGTTTGGGGGCCCTCTTGAGCCATTCTTGGGGCCGTCCTGGGCCCTCTTGGCCGATCTTGGGCGCCTCTTGGGCCGTCTTGGAGCCCTGTTGGGCCGTCTTGGGGCCCTTTGGGGGGGCATCTTCGGCGGTCTTGGGGTTCTCTTGAGGGCTTCTTGGGCCGTCTTGGGACGAAGCTCGAAAAGGCCAGAACCCCTGAATAATTTGTGCTTCTCGAGGCCCTCTTGGGAAGACTCCTGGGGCGGAGCGCGAATTCGTCCCATGTTACTGGGGAGTGTGGCCTCGGGAGTGCGAATCTGGTGCATTTTGCGAGGAATTCTGGCCTCGGGAGGGGTACCGGGAGGGGGGCCAGTGCGCGCAACGAAGTGCGATTACATAGAGGGGAGGTTGCCTTTAGAAGGTCGCAAAAACCCTACCAGACAGCACTTGGCATTCTAGCACGCCCCAAGGTGCCAGGGGGCACGGTGGCGGAAAAGTCGTGCTAGCAGTTCTTCCCCGCAGCAGCAGGATCTTGGCAGTTTACAGCATGTTGCTGCAATCAGGCATGAAAGCACAGAGGATTCGGCGACTGCCACCTACGCCGATCGAAGTTTTTCTTTGGTGGCTCCCTACGACCCCACGAAGTCTGACTATCGGCTTCTTGATTTTCTCCCAGTGCCAATCCGTGGATTGATTGATTCTCGGCGCTTCGCGTATCCCCACCAGTTGTAGGTGTGGCCGCCCTCCGTCGCGTTAGTTTAATTCGTCGCTGCGTGCCCCGCTTTGACTGGACTCGCCGCCGGGCCGCCGCCGGCACGCTCGCCCGCGGCCGCTGACTAAAAAAGTATCTCCACCAGCTCGTCCAAGAAAAGATGCCCGATGGAGTTGTTCGGAGGTGGAGTGGGAAGCATATAGCTAAGCAAATAGTCCAGCAAGTGATCATTGTTTGTTCATTGTTTTGCCGATCGGCGCGGGCCCAACCCCCCCCCTCCCCCCCCCATGGAGTAGATCTTGGCTGTTTTTGTTGGCGCCTGTTTCGAGCGGGTGGAGTCCCCCAGAGGCAGCACTCTTGCAAACAGTCGCACCAAGCAGAGATTTGGAGCCAGACCACCCCCCCTCCCCCCCCCCTTGCCGCCCAATGTCGAAACGCCGAATGCCCCAAAAAACGCTCAGCAATAGTCCTTTCAGAGGTCGCTAGGGGGAGGCCTTTGAGAGGGCTGTGGGCCCTCTCGGAACCTTCCTAGAAGCCGTCGGTCCCAACACTGGAGGGGTCTCTAGTGAGGGCCTTCCCTTGAAGCTTGAAAATCGTATGGTGATCTGTTTGTTGTTCATTGCTTTGCCGATCAGCGCGGGCCCTGAGACCCCCCCTCCCCCCCCCCATGGAGTGGATCTTAGTTGTTTTTGGCACCTGTTTCGAGCGGGTGGAGCCTTCCCCCCATCGGACGCACTGCTGCAAATAGTCGCACTAAACAGAGGTCCAGAGCCAGACCGCCCCCCCTACCCCCCGCCCCTTCCGCCCAATGTCGAAACGCCGAATAAAAAAACGCTGACTTAGGGCCCTCCCTTGAAGCTTGAAAACCGTATATAGGAGTGGTGCGTTCTCAGGAGCAGTTTGGGTTGTCTTGCAACTCTTGGCCCTTCTTGGGGCTCTCGTCGGCGATCTTGGAGCCATCCTGAGGCCTCAGAAACCAGTCAGGAGCGAAGAGCCGAGAAGGAACAAAGCATTGGAATACCATTAGTGCTTCAAGGACTGGCCTACTAGGGCATCCATGGGAGGCCCTGTGGTCACGTGCGTCCGTCTTGGGGCGGCTTGGGCGCGCTTCCGGGCATGCTCGAGGCCGTCTTGGACACTTCAGCGCCATCTTGGGCACCATATTTTTGGCTATATTGGACCATCTTGGACGTCCTAAGCCCTCGCGACCCCCCCCCCGACCAAGCCCCAGCGCCACCGCCGGGCTCTCGTAGGGCCGTCCCCGCCGTGACGACTGACGGGCGCCTCGCCTCGCCTCGCCCGACGAAGCCCCAGCGAAGGGGGAGGGGGATGGGTCAAGTTCTAATTGGGAAGGCCGCAGGCAGCCTCGGTCACTCCCACCCGCCTCCCCACCGTATAAGCAGCAGCCGAGACTCAGCATAGGCAGAAGTCTCGATCGGATGGACAGGTATTTCATGGCGCCACCATCACAGAGCGGATTTCGTTCGGAAAACGATAATATGGGCCCAGAGTGTCCTGGAGAATGTCGTTCCGGATTTCGAGGTGAATTTCGTGCGGATTGTTTGGGGCAGGAATGGGAGCCAATACAGACGCCAGGTGCGCGGCCCTCGCAGCACTTGCACGTGACCACCCCGCCGCCCCTGCCAAAGCCGCTGCAGAATGGCGGCGGGGTGGTGAGCATGGTGTTCGGTGCGCGTGCGCCCGCAAGCAGGTTTGAATTTGGTGTTGATCGGGATACTGGGTCAGCACGCAGCTAACAAGTGTATACATATTTCTATATGTATATATAAATGTATATCTACATATACATATACATATATACATGCATATACATATATGTGTGTGACCCCCCGCCGCCACCCATGTTGTAGATGGAGTGCTCGCGGAGTGTCCGCGCACGATCTTATGTTTGCCGCCAAGTGCATGGTGCAATGTTTTCCACAAGGATGATTGGGGTGGGCGCACTGTTCCTGATCGGCGGCCCGTCGAGTGCGGGAGGGTGCGCTCATGAATGAGGAGCAGTGGCCCCTGCCCGAAGGCAAACAAGAGGGTTGGAGAAGCCGACTCCCTAGACCACCTTCGCCCAGAGGGCTGGTGGGATTACAATTTCATCGAGGAGGACTTCCCATTGCCTTCCAACGAGAACGGTACTCACCCAAGGCCGTCAACCACCCCAACAGGACCTTTCGGCTTCCATTTGTACAATAGATCCATTTTGGTTCCGAACTGTTGGGCAACTGTTTACGAAGTCCTCCGGTTCGTAGCGCAGTGCCGACTCGATGGACCGACTAGGTTCAAGAGTTTGGAAAATATCAGTTGGGATGTGTATTCCACCGACGATAGTCACATGCAGGCCGTTCTTAGCAAGTTTACCCGAAGGGTTGAGGGGGGCTTTCGATTTCTCGAAGATGCCTTGCTGGCGAGTCGCACCGAATCTTCCATTGAGGGCCAGGTTCTGATTTCTAACAATGGATTTCGTCAGGAGCATCATAAATCCGTTGAATATGTTTTGAACCATACGCTTCAAGACCAAGATCTACTGAGTATGGAGGCCATCCTCGGCAGTACAAGGAAGATCGAGGCCAGCCAGAAGAGCATCCCCGCGGTCCAAAATAGTACTGTTCAACACTCTACGGACGAGAAAGTCCACAATGACATTGATCATGGCATGCAGATTGGTGGGGAGGATGACGGTCCAAGATTCGGTGATATCTTGTTGATTTACAATGAGGATCCGGATTTCACCCGGGCGGTCCTGGAGCATGCAGTATTGTTCGTCGACCAGACCATAGTTTTCGAGAAAGCTGGCACAGGCAGGTTAAACCCGTACCGATTAATCAATCTGAAGACCGTATTGCGCGAATGGCCACCCGCGAATGTGGGAGCAAAAACAGGAATATTCTCCTGGCATTTGCACCGTGTCTGGTCTTGGGAGGACAGGCCGCTGCTGCGGAACCTGAGCGAAGGCGACTTTGTCAAGCAGTTCAGCCTGTCTGGATCACCCGTGGACCGCCGCTGGCCCATGTTGTGGCAGTGGCCCGCCGAGGACAGACGGCAGTACACGCTCGGCGTGGGCGACGACCCCCGTTCGAGGACCGGGGAGGTCGACGAGATCGTCCTCCTGCAGGCATCAACTGCACGTAAGAGTGACCCTTCACGCCGGAGTGGCCTTTGGTGCGCGCCCACGGCGGTCCCCCGATCGCCGCGTGCGGTGCGATAATGAACGTGTTGCGCGCGTGTGTTCTTGGCCTCCTCGCGCCCCCCAAAAGTCGCGGACCAAAGGCCATTCTTTCAAGAGAGGAGAAAACACACGGCTCCGACAACAGGCGTTTGCTAAGCGTCCTTGGGCGTTTGTGAACGGCCCTGGCCTGTGCGACTCCTTCTGTGGGTGCGTTTGCTGAGCGGCTTCGCCCGTCGGGGTGGTTTTTTTAGGGGTGGATGTTCTGGCCTCTAGTCTTGCCTAGGGTCATGTCGTGTTGCTCCCATCGTACTCAAGGACCACATCCCGGAAACAATTTCGAGCACCCGGAAGAGTGCCGAACGAGTGTCTCCCAGGGCCCGACACGTGAAAACCCTCGAGTTTCGGTTCGTTTGTGGTTTGCTCGAAATTATACATGGTGGTCCAGGCTGAAGTACGGTAGGTTCATGCGGCGTTCGCGCGCCGGCGACGCCGGCGAAGGCGTTCAAGGTTTAATTCTGCGACGCGGAAGCACCGATGGACACGGTTCGCCATTGGACCCGACTGAAGTCAATTTTGAACGATCGAGGCTGCGATCGATTCAAGGTTGAACGATCGACGCGGTGCCAAAAACCTTTGCGCGCACCGACGCCGCACGAACCTACCGTAGGCAGGAACATCATAAGCCCAGGGTCGCTGCCACGTGCAGCCGAAGGCACGACGCTACGGCCTGTGCCGCTCCCGCGCGCGCCCGCGGCTCGTGCCGTGCGCGGGGCGCCGGGAGGCCGGGGGGCCCCCGAACGCCGACGGCCCGCGGGAGGGGCACCCAGCACAATCGGGCGCGACGACAGGGGCGAATCTCGGAGAAGAACAAACCACAGAAACATAAATCGGGTCGGGCGAAAGGGGGGGTTTGGGAAAGGGGGGGTTACGAAATTTGCTGCATGCAGCTGTTTCGGCCCCGCCGCCGGGCCCATTCCTCGATACATGGGCGCCTCCGGCGCCGGGAGGCGCCGGGAAAATCAGCTACGTGAGCTGATTCTCAAACCCCCTTTGCTATCCCCCCCTTTCGCCCGACCCGAATAAACTTTTGGCGCTCCGCTCGGATCTCTTGGATCCGAGCCTGGGCCCCCCTGGCGGCGCCTCCGGCGCCGCCCGCGCGCCAGGGAGAGGTCCAGCGCGAATCCCAGAAGTCCGCGCGGAGCGCCAAAAGGTTATGTTTCTGTAGTTTTTTCCCTTCTAGAATAGCCGAGGGGCGGGCACTACACGCATTCGCTCGGGAGCCTCGCCGAAAGTATGGATTTTCGGCACTCATGAGTGCATGCACGATAGGTTCGCGTCGTGTCGACCGACGGCGACCCCGCCGGCGGAGTTCAACGTTGAACGCCGCTGGCGACCAAGAATCGGTCGATTTAAACGATCTGACGTTTCGGAAACGGCCGATCGTTCAAGGTTGAACGATCTTCGCGGTGTCAGAAACCAATGCCGAAGTCGGCACGACACGAGCTTGCCGTATGCATGTATTGCTGTCCCCTGGGCTCTTCGCCCCCATCGTCGCCCCCGACAGAATGGGGGCAGGAGGCGCGCGACCTCGACGACAGCTGGTTCCGCTCAGTGCCAGTGTTCGTGTAGCAGGTGGGTGGTCACCTGGTCGTCGAGCGGATCACGCGGACACTTGATCGGCCTGCGGGCGCCTCGGGCCACAGAACGAGATCCACGCCGCGTGGCCCTCTCTGACCAGGAGCCTGCGAGAGGAGGGAGCATCCGGAGGGAGGGAGGGGGCAGCCAGGAGGGGACGCGAGGGAGGAGGAGCGGAAGGGGAGGCGGGCCGAGGCGAAGGGAGGGGAGGGGAGGGAGGGAGGCTGGGAGGGGGCAGCAAATGGACAGCGCGAGGGGAGGGGGGATGGGAGGGGAGGCGCGCCGAGGCGAGGGGAGGGGAGGGGAGCGGGCGAGCAGAAGCGAGAGGGGAGCAGCGGGCTCGAGAGAAGGGGGGGGGGGAGGCGGCGGGAGGGGGAGGGGAGGGCCTGGGCGAGCGGAGGAGAGAGGAGGGGAGCAGGACTTCAGCGAGGGGGGTGGGAAAGAGGCGGCGGGAGGGAGGGGAGGCAGGTCGGGAAGGCGGGAGGAGAGGGGGGGGGGGAGGGGCGAGAGGGATGGAGCCCACCCTTCGCTTCCACTCACCTCCCGAAGGCCTCTCTTCCTCCCTGCCTTTCCCCCCTCCCCCTGGTCCCCATCGAGGTTGGCGCTCGATTCTAACCCTCGCCCACAGAAAGAAAAGCTCCCTGGTCTCCGCTCCTCCACTCGTCCTCCCCACCCCCATCCCCTTGCCTCTGCGCCCGCCCCACTCCTCTCACGATCCCTCCCGTCCTCTCCCCTCGCTGCCCCCTCCCCCATCCCTCCCTCCCGATGCTCACCCACCCCCCTTCCCGTCTGCCCTCCCCTGCCTGCCCTCGCTTCCCCCTCGAAAATCGGGGCGGGGGGGGCGGCTCCCAGTGCGTCGCGACATCGCGCCGGAGGCAGCGCCGTAGCGTCATCGCAAGCAGGGGCGATGGGGGGGAAGGGGTGACTGCAGGCAGTACCCGAAACGGAGCCCGCCCACCCCTTTGTATTATTCTTAGGGTTCTTCTTACTACCACCACCACCATTACCACTACTACCAGTACTACGACTATTACGTTTACTACTGCTACGACTACCACTACCACTCTTACTACTCCTACTTCTCCTACTACTCCTACTACTCCGACTACTCCTACTACTACTACTACTACTACTACTACTACTACTACTACTACTACTACTATCACTACTACTACACTACTACTACTACTACTACTACTACTACTGCTGCTACTACTACTACTACTACTACTACTACTACTACTACTACTACTACTACTACTATATACTATATACTACTACTACTACTACTACTACTACTACTACTACTACTACTACTACTACTACTACCCTACTACTTCTTCTACTACTACTACTACTACTACCTTCTACTACTACTACTACTACTACTACTACTATTACTACTACTACTACTACTACTACTACTACTACTACTACTACTACTACTACTACTACACTACTACTACTACCACTACTACTACTACTACTACTACTACTACTACTACTACTACTACTACTACTAAACTACTAAACTACTATACTACTATACTACTATACTACTATACTGCAATACTACTACTACCTACTACCTCAACTACTGCCATTACTACATACTACTACTGCGAACTACTATATTACACTACGACTACTACTACTACTATTATACTAACATACTATACGACGAACTACTACCTAACTACTACGACCCTACTACTACTACTACTTCTACGACGACTTCTACTACAACTACTACTACTACTACTACTACTACTACCTATACTACTACTACTACTACTACTACTACTACTACTACTACTACTACTACTACTACTACGACTACGGCTACGACTACGACTACTACTACGACTACTACTACGACTACTCTTACTACTACTACTACTACTACTACTACTACTACTACTACTATTACTACTACTACTACTACTACGACTCTTATTATCTACTACTAATACTACTACTAGGGAACGCCGTGCCCGTTCGGGCCCCACGCCGTGCCCGTCCGGGCCCCACGCCGTACGCGGTGCCCGTCCGGGTCCCACGCCCCACGCCGCGCCCGTCCGGGTTCCACGCCCCACGCCGTGCCCGTCCGGGTCCCACGCCCCACTCCGTGCCCGTCCGGTATCGCGCTTGGGCGCCTCAGGAATTTCTGAAGTGTATAAGCGCTTAGGAATCCTGAAGGAATCCTCAGGGAATCCTCAAATGCTAGCGAATCCGAAGGGAATCCTAAGGAATGCTAGCGAATCCGAAGGAATCCTAAGGAACCCCAAGGAATCCGAGCGAATCCTTTGCGAATCCTAATGGAATCCTAAGGAATCCTTGCGCAGACCGCACGCCGTTCCCGTCCGGGTTCGCGCTTGCGCGCCTCAAGAATCCCTGCAGTGTATGAGCGCCTAGGAATCCGGAGGGAATCCGAAGGGAATCCTAAAGGAATGCTAGCGAATCCGAAAGGAATCCTAAGGAATGCGAGCGAATCCGAAGGAACTCTAAGGAATCCGACCGAATCCTCAGCGAATCCGAATGGAATCCTAAGGAATCCTCGCGCAGACCGCACGCCGTGCCCGTCCGGGTCCCACGCCCCACTCCGTGCCCTTCCGGGTTCGCGCTTGCGCGCCTCAGGAATCCCTGAAGTGCATGAGCGCTTAGGAATCCTGAGGGAATCCTAAGGGACTCCTGAAGGAACGCGAGCGAATCCGAAGGGAATCCTAAGGAGTGCTAGCGAATCCGAAGGAATCCGAAGGAATCCTCAGCGAATCCTAATGGAATCCTAAGGAATCCTTGCGCAGATCGCACGCCGTTCCCGTCCGGGTTCGCGCTTGCGCGCCTCAAGAATCCCTGCAGTGTATGAGCGCCTAGGAATCCGGAGGGAATCCTAAGGGAATCCTAAAGGAATGCTAGCGAATCCGAAGGGAATCCTAAGGAATGCGAGCGAATCCGAAGGAACCCGAAGTGTAAATATTGATCCAAATCTTTCCACCCACAACTCCTTGATGCAAGAAGAAATAGATAGAGTGTGATTTGTTCTTATTCCGATGTCAAGCTAGACAGTCGTAGAACGCGCCCACCCTCCCGCCACAGCTGGGCGGGTCCAAGCCACAAATGGCAATAGTGAACAAGAGAATGCAAGCATGAGCGAGTGAGAGCAATAACATAGACAATTCTAAACATCATCCTATAACTCACAGCCTTGCTAATACAACTTTCACACAGGAAAAGGAAACGTTGCTAAAGAGTGCCTTGGCAAATTATGCAGCACGCCTCCAGAATATTGTATAATATTATTGGCTCGAACGATCAAACTATCGCCCGTGCAACAAGCAACAGATATCAAACACAAGAAATCAAATATTCTCTGCTCGAACGGTCAAACTACCGTCCGCGTATCAAGCAACAGATACCAAGATAAAAGAAATCGACGCACCGAGCAACGGATACTAAGACAGAAGAAATCCACGCACTGATCAACATATAAAATATTTACCTGAGGTTTGCGCACCGAGCAACAGATATCAATATATAGAATAGTTACCTGAACTCTTGAGGGGGTGCTTTCACTCCTCATCTGTAGATGGTGACCAAACATCACTCATCACCTGAAATGGTAACCCAAATCGCTCATCATCTGACAATGATAACTCAAATCATCATCCTCAGCGCACACGTACTGCTGACTTGATGATGCTGTATGCAATGTAAACCTTGATGCTCGGGTCGAGACTATAACTCCTGCTCTCGTCTGCGTCCAGCTTGAGACACCGTCCTAGGCAATTTGCGTAGTGCCTGTCCTTCGTATAGATCGTTTCATAGCTGTCGCCCTGGTACTTGCCACTCCTGATTATCGTCGGTCCCATGGTCTCCAGCCACTGCCTTAGTAGAGCACTATCTCCCAATATAATTGGTCCATCTCCCATGATCTCAGCGTCATAGGTCGCTGGATCGGCTCGTACTGCGAGTGTTGTCGTTGTAGTTTTCGGCGTAGCCTTCGCTGTCCTGGGTTTGACCTTGACCTGTTTCTCGGGCAACTCCGGCTTGAACAGGTTCTCGCTGCTTGAACTATCCACCTCCATCGGATCAAACATGTCCTCGTCGTCGTTCTGCTTAAGCTTCATTACGTAAACAAATATGATGATCCCCGCGATGATAGAGACTACCGTCACCACCGCAGGAGACATCGAAAGACAAACTCCATACACTGCGAGCGCACAAAGTTGAAACAGAACTACTGCTTGGCCAGGTATCTGGATGGTTATTTGCGCGCCACTCCTCTCCATCAGGTAGTTGTCCGTTAGCTCTTCCGTGTAGAGTGCCTCGACGTAGTCCTCGTCTTGAACCTCGTCCTTGTCGTCGTAGAAGCATTCGCCCACGTAATTGTACGCCCCCACCGGCCACGTAGAGATCTCCTCGTCGTCCTTCCCGGTGTCATCGCAAAGCTCCTGCTTGACGTACTTGGCCATCTTCGCGTTCAGCTCGTCTACCTCCTTGTTGGCTGCTACCTTCTCTGGTCCAACAAGCTTTCGTCCACGTATTGATGGTGCCCTGTCATCAGGCCCAAGAGTCCACACATTGGATGCAACTATCTTCCTCGCGTAGCCTCCTGGAAGTACTTTCGTCAAACAGTCCGCTAGCATCTGCTCACTCTTGACCCACTTGATGCTGACCTCTTCGAGTGACTGCCGCAATATAGCCAAAACCTCCTGTCCGTCATAGAAATCTTCTCCTTTGTGATCGCGTCGTATAGGCTCTTGCAGTCGGTCACCGAAATGCATTTCACCGGGCAGGTGTCGTGCACAATCTCGGTCATGTCCATCTCCGGGTACAGGATCTCTCCGCCAGGGTCGACCTTGTCCATATCAACATGTCCACCGAATCCGCACATGAGTAGGCCTCCGCTGATAGAGTAGATCGCACCACTCGTTGAATCTTGGAAGACGGCCACCCAATGCAGTGTACCTTGTACTTGTTACTGTGGTCCTCGT